GCTCTCCCGGGGGCGTGGGTGGCTCCCATGCTTGCTTTTCGGGGCGTCTCTCCAGAGGGACTCCTGCCTTGCCAGCGCCGTTAAAGTTTCTTCAGGGACCTTCCTGGGAGGCCCTGGGAGAGCTTTTGCGTCTTCGCAGCAAGACCTTGCGCTAGCGTTTCGTCGGTCTCCGCTGCCATATGGAACAGTTCCCGCACATGGGGACGTTTGCGGGAGATAGGGCAGACGATGATAATTTTCACGTTGCTTAATGTGCCAAGTGAATATATCGGAAAGGCTGCGCAGGCTGTTTCTCTTAAGTAAAAATGGAAATAATTTAACAGTCTTGGAGAGTAATATCCCTTAGGAGCCCGTGCTTGCTAGAGAGCTAAGGCTTTAATATGATAACTACCCTTGGTTTGTTGTTGGTTTGGTTTCCTTACACAGAACTCTCATAGCTCGAGACGTGCCTGTAAGGTTCATTCAGACTTGTCGGTTGGGAGGGGAAGTACAATAAGAGTTAAGGGAAAACAACTTTCAATTATAAATATGTACCACTTGATGCAGAGCTGTGGCAGTCTGCTGTTTAAAATAACGAGGAGAGGTGGCTCACTGATTTTAAAAGCCAGAGCCCTTAAGTGTCTGATACTTAGTTTTTCTTACTCTGCTTTTTCCTTGGTTTGCTGTTTTAACTTTTTTTTTCAAGGAGTGTCTCTGTAAGATTTTAATACTAAGAAGGTGTATTTTTCCAGCCCTTATTAAACTTGTAGATTTTCTTCCAGATTAGTTCAGATAGTCACCCTGCTGAAACTAAGTTTTTTACAGTTGAGGAGTTGGTATTTCTGCTTACAGAAGTCTTTTGAATAAATATGAGTAAATATAAAGCTTGTGTAAATCTTGTCTGTGTCTGGAGGAGGTGAAGTGTAAAGGAAGGCAGTGCAGTAGAAAGAAACAGCTATCTTTAGATATTTCTCTGTGTTCTTAAGAAATACCTCATTTTGTTTATTGGTTTTAAAACCGTGAAATCCCAAGGATTGCAGTGAGTGTTAAAACTAATTATTTTTTTAAAACCTCTTTAATGAGAAAACAGTAGTTAAATGCCTGAATGCTCTTAGTACTACCTAGCTGCTAATACACTAAAAGTTAGCTTTAAGGAGGCAATGCAAATCTAGCATAACTGTTGTTATGCACTATGTATGTTTTATACTGTGTGTTCTATGTATAGTCCAGGACATTTTGATATGATTCTTGAACTTCATTATAAGATGTTGTTTTCAACTTTATCAGATGTTTCAAACAACAGCAAAGCTTGATAGGAGGAGCATGAAGGTGACATGCATGGCTTCATCAGTAAAGCAGATATAACTTCTAGGGGTATCGGCTGTTAGCACTTCTTAATTTTCTTTCAAATAACTGAAGGCAAACAGTAATTATGTGTGTAATTCAAAAGTAATTTTACTCAAAGTTCATAAATGGAATTGTCTTTCAGGCAGAGATGAAGCCTGGGAAATCATCACATGCAAAGGTAAATGTTTTGTAATGTGATTAGTGTGTGAAAATAGCACTTTTTAATATTAAAAATTTAGACAAAGACAAAAACTACAACAGAATTTGTGGCAAATACAAGAGTAATGAAGCTGTTCAAAATGAGTGAAAAATTACTGCCAAATACTTTAAGTATGCACTTGAATTCTTATGATCTTCAGTTGATAATTACATTAACCATTTAAGAATAACATTAGGACACAGCAGAGTATTATTAAAATGGCTTAATCATAAAGACTTTTTTTTTCCTCAGAATTTTTACTGCTATGAGTGATTTTTGTTTTCAGTAGTTACTTAATTATGGGATTTGTAGTTCATCTGATACAACATAGAGGTCTGCAATAATTCCTGGACTATGGATTCAGCAGTGGAGATGTATAGATAGAGATGTGTGTCTGCGTTTCTACGTATGCGTATGTTCCTGTGGCATAAAATTAAAACTCATCACTTCCAAATTTCATTTCTACTCTGGGAAGCAATACAGTTCTGTGGCTGTGTAAGATGAATTGGGCTTTAATGGCCTTTAAGCCAAAGGCACAGTTGAATTGGGCCGCATTGCTGTTCTCTTGTGCTTATGGTTTCCACAATAGAACTTTGTATTTTGATACTGTCTTCTACTTGTCTCTTAACTTTACAAGCATCATAAAAAAAAAAAAAACCCAAACTTGTAGGAACCACCAGTATGCACAAAGGCTAGCCTTTTTAATGTAGCATTATCAGAGGGACAGGAGGAAATGTGAAGCAGATAGATGCTAGAGGAAAGACGTCTGATGATAATCTGTGAGTAAGAAAACATCATCTGTGAGGAGAGAGCAGGGGAGCTGAGTTTATATAGTGTGGAGAAATTGAAGGTAGGTTACATATTTGGAGGCTAATAAACATTGAACTAAAGTATTTAAGTTACTCAGTCTCCCTTCCTGTTAAGTAGTAGGAGATGTTTTCTAGTAGTTAAGAGTAGCTAAGAACAAGAACAGCTTATGAAGGAATTTCCATTAATATAAGAGTTACCTAGGAAAACATCTACCAGATAAAACTGTATGGGTCTGCTTTTGATGAATGTATACAGGTCACAGACATTGCCTTTCATGTCAAGTATAAAGAACAAAAAAATCTCAGCTCTGCTTGTTTTCATAGTCTCTAACTTAGTTTAAATAATCACTGGTTATAAAATACTGTTGCTATGTATTCTGTGAAATGGGATGTGATTTTTGCTGTAGGAAAACCTTGTCATTGGCAAAGGTATGACAATTACTTGAAATATAATGCTGCAATGTAATGTTCCTTCAAAAAAATGATTTTTTTTTTTTTTAGTGAAGTAAGAATGATTTCCAAGGGGTTAATGTTTTATCCAGGGAAATCTTTAGGGAAACCTTATTTCCCTGTCTGAAACAGAAGACCTTCCACTGGCCAACTTGCTGATTTCCTTGGTTCCAGTGTCTCCATCTGTAATACATGGATGATGTTTCATGCCACCTCTCTATAGAGCTGTGACACTTCTAACAGCAGAAGGCAATATAACTGAGATAATCCAGTTAAGTAGTCATTCATTAAAAGAAAAAATTAACTAGTCATATTTGCAAGTGACAGAAATCGATTAAAAAGTTCTCTTGTAGAAGACATAAAGGGGTGCATGCTTCTTGCTTTAACTGGGACATCAGACAGTTATGGAGCAAGTCCACAAGTGGTTCTCGTAGTCTTGTCTAGAAAGAGAAACAGGCCCGTCCAGGTGGTGGGTCCACTCTGTTTCTTAGATTGACCAGCTCAGACATCAAAGTCTAAATATATTGTTCTCCCTTTCCTTCCCTGTTCCACCCCTTTGCCTGATTATTCTGGCATCCTCTTAGTCACAACAGTTAGAGATAAAGGAGAATCACAACATGTGCTTTTCATAATTAAACATAGAGTTTTTGCATCATAAGGTGTTATATTGTAAACTGTTTGAAAGGTTTATAACTTCCTATCCAGCACAACAGTAATGAGGAATGAAGACCAAGTAGAGGGTTTTTTGGTTTGGGGTTTTTTTTTTTTTTTGTAATCTTGCAGTATGCTGAGACGTGTCAAATCTCATAGACTTCAAAAAGTGCTGAGGAACACCTTATCACTCACTGAAAATTACCATATTAGCTTACTCTTTTTATTTATGTTCTTTAAGTGTCAATTTGGTTCTGCTTGTATCATCTTCTACTGTTCAGGTCAAACAAGATAATGTGTGGAAGGCCTGCTACTTTGGACTCCATAGAAAGCATGGTTTGTAGCTTTATTGTGAATGAGCTTGTACTGACTTGGTTTAGAGTCTATACTAGACCTTTGTGCTTGTTCTGAGAAACCATCATGATTTTCCTTTCTAGTGATCTTGGTATTGGAAGGAGGTAGGGAAGAACCTAGGAGAAACTGGTATCTTAGTTCTCTAGCTAACAAATTGTGCAGCAAGAGGTGAAGTAAGAGGCATAATCTGATTCAAGCCTGGAAATGGACAGAACTAGAAGCTTCACGTAGCTGGGGAGAAAACTTTCATAGTCATGTAGTTCAGTAGTGCAGAGTAGTCAGCTTTACTTAAATATATAGGTGAGTATGAAACATTTGTGGCTGTATAGCTTACCCTTCCTGCTAACAACCAGATGTTGAGTTCTAGTTGTAGGATGCATTGGTCTTGCAATTCCAGTAGCAAAGGTTTTATATATGCCTCTGTATTTATCAGAAGTAATCACACAGCAGCACTATCTCAGCAGTATAGATATTCGGTATTATCCTACTGAAATGAAAACAAAACGCTGTGCACAATTGAGACTAACATGGCTTATAAAATCAGCAGTTAGTTATCAGTCCTCAAATGGCAATCCTTAGAGTATATGGGATAACTCTCTGCAAAACTTAATCACCATAAGTAAGATTTTTATGATGACTTTGCTTTTTAGTAGTTGTTTTTAATGATGGGTCTCTTACTCTTTTGTGAATGACTTGTTGAGAAAGCATTTTTGGAATTTCTTTCATTTTATAAAAAGGTCAGCAAAATTTTGAATGGTGTAGATAAGGAGACTGTTTTTACTGTGTCATTATCAATGTGTGTAAACTTCATTAGGAAGTTCTTTTACAAATTAAAGTATTTACCTTATGTGTCTCCTAATTCCTGTAACTTCTTTACTAGAGAAATGGATCACAAGAATGAAATTTTAATATAGACAATAATTGTGCATACTTCAATATAGATATTGAACATAAATTCATAAATAATAGAAGAAAGTTGGGATGACTGCTCTCGACTGTATTTCATCACTTCTACATATTTGGAGTAGATAGACTATATAAAAAGCTTAATTTCATGTTGCATTTGGTTAATATGTTATATATGTTTAGATCATGGTCATAAAGGATAACAAAAAAATGCTTTTACAAATACATTAACAACAAAAAGAGAGGCAAGGAGAATGTCTATCCGTTACTGGATATGGAGGGGGAACATTGTCACCAAGGATGAGGAGAAGGCTGATGTACTTAATGTCATCTTTACCTCAGTCTTTAATAGCCAGACCAGGTATTTGCAGGGTATTCAGCCCCTTGAGCTGGAAGACAGGGATGGAGAGCACAATAAACTCCTCATAATCCAGCAGGAAACAGTTAAGGACTTGTTAAGCCACCTGGATGCCCACAAGTCAGGAACATTGTCACCAAGGATGAGGAGAAGGCTGATGTACTTAATGTCATCTTTACCTCAGTCTTTAATAGCCAGACCAGGTATTTGCAGGGTATTCAGCCCCTTGAGCTGGAAGACAGGGATGGAGAGCACAATAAACTCCTCATAATCCAGCAGGAAACAGTTAAGGACTTGTTAAGCCACCTGGATGCCCACAAGTCAATGGGGCTTGATGGGATCCACCTGAGAGTACTGAGAGAGCTGGTGGAGGAGCTTGCCAAGCCACTCTCCATCATTTATCAGCAGTCCTGGGTAACAGGGGAGGTCCCAGAAGACTGGAGGCTTGCCAATGTGACACCCATCTACAAGAAAGGCTGGAAGGAGGATCCTGGGAACTACAGGCCTGTCGGCCTGACCCTGGTACCGGGGAAGATCATGGAGCGGTT